TTGGGATCGTGTCTCGAATATATCTTAGGCAACAGATATATTCTCCATCGGCCTTTCTATACTATCCGTAATAATTATAAAATATATAACAATCAAATAAGAATACAACACTTCAGATTTAACCGCTACTCTTAATGGCCTATTAATTTCGTTAATATATATTTAGGGAATTAATAACATCGCCGTTTCATCATACAGACGAAGACAAATAATATATCACTGAAGGTCAGGTTCAACAGATGTTCCTGGTAAAACGTAGCGGATGAAGAAATGCTGCTCATGTATAAAATATCTAATACTCGTTATACATTATATCGTAGATTATCTCGTTAATGAAGGTTAATTTCAGCCTTAGCATCAATATTTCTCTTTCCACTGTAATGCTCCGATTGGATTTTCGTCACGAATATCCGCATTTCGCTTCGTGTCTCTATCGCTCAATCCAAACCGCGCATATTTGTCGTGGCAGAACTTGGCATATGATCCGCCCAATGGGCACATTGTCATATTGACGGAGTTGATAATAGACATATCCCCTTATACTCAATATCCTGTTCAATCTCTAGTGATTTATTGAGATCGATCAATGCGCTTTACCATCACACTTGAATTTAGTATGTCCAGGTGTCATGAAATTTAATTCAATACTTTTATAATAACTAAATATAGGTAAAATTAAATGGTGGAGTTATTTTTATTCTGTCTTCCCGCATTGTCACAAGTAATCCTTAAGTACTTTTCACCTCTTAATTCCATCGAATACCATGCTTAGCGTGCCATTAGGGCATCGAGAACGTAATTAATTTGTTCGTGTACTGCTTCGTCTTGAAAACCAAATAAATGCACTTTACGCGGACTGAGATAATAATTTTACTTACCTGTTGATCAGAATGGGGCACGTGAACATTTTGTGCTCAATCATAATAATAACTGTAATGAGCAGTAGCATCAACGCTACAATAATCAGCTTTACCTCTTGTTATAAATGCTCGTCTACTAATTTTCTGTTTTTCTGCCAATTTGGTATTTTTGTTGTAATAGTTTCTCTCTAATTTAGCTTTAACTAGGTGTTCTTTGAATTTTTTCAATAAATTTTTCGCTTCTTCCTTGCAAGCATTGTATTATAAGCCGTTCCGAAAATGTTGACAAGTGTCGCATAAATCCGTTCGTGGACTCATTATTTGAATATCAGGCGTTAATTGGTGCCATAACTTGCGGAATGGTCATATTTTAATAACTTCAATGTGCTATCGTTTTCGAGGCCTGCAAAAAAATCACGATAGACCGATTTGTAACTCGTTTCGGCTGGCAAAAGTGTAAGCGATTGAGTAATACGATTGACATTTCTACCGGGACTTGGTAATCCATGTAACATAATTCTCGAGAAAATTCTTCACGGTGGTAGCAACGGTTATATCAATGGTTATTTTGGTTTTCCATCGTGGTACTCTTTTTACATTACCATGAACGCGTGGTATTATACCATTCGCCGCTAGGTGATTTCTGACGTTTTCGAGATACGTTTTCTGACAAAGGGGCGTATTACGATCTCAGTAGTAAAACGTTCGTTTATTAATACGTCATTGCTTCAGTTGGGCCATTAAAAATATGTCTTGCTCAGATCTAGAGAGAGCTTGAAACGCCTCACGTAATTCGACAACCATTCCCTCGGAATAATTTTTGAGCAACCACAATTACAACCTATATTCAAGAAACGTACTGCTTTTTCATATTCGGTGGAACTATTACAATGATTATTTTTCATATGCAGGTAACTGTATACTCTAGTTTCGAGGATTTAGCCATAAATATCAGGTCGCTGAAAATTTACAGATTATCAGGGTTGGTTATATCCTATGTCCGGAGAAAATTTCAAGAATTCTTAATTTCTACGCCGATTTAGGATTGTTCGCCTACTTATGGCGTTTACTGTACCTTCGAAATTTTTATATGTTCAGCAAGTTTTCGAATGCTTTTCATATCCAAAAGCAGAACATATTCAATGCACTCTTGAATTATTACTTTGCAAATTTTCTTGTATAACGAAAAGTTTAATATAAAATGCCAATTATCTGGATATGTGTAAACTCTGATATATATATATATATATATATATATATATATATATATATGTGTGTGTGTGTGTGTGTGTGTGCCTGCCAAACCTTTGTTGTACGGACTCGAAAGAGTCGAAGGAGGGCAGGCACATCGTGGAACGAAGACCTCAATGTGTGGAAGAAAAAAAACCGAAGATCACGAAAATTTTCTCGTGTAGTCGAGTATGCTTAATGGAGATGACATCAGCACAAACTACGAGAGTATGAGATGACATACGGTTTCGTTAAATCGTCATGAATACAATCGTCTCTTGTTGTTATCGAAAGAACCCACTGCTCTCCCCTCACGTCATTTTCATAGAGAATTCATAATGAAAGAAAACATGCTGTGTAAACCCGAAGATTCTCACAGTGAAAACAGTATGCCTTTATTCAATAATCGTCTTTCGCTTCTTACTTGCAAAAAGCTTCTGTGCCCTCTCTCTCTTCTGCTTCGGATCAAGCAAGGCAGTGTTAATTTTATCTTGCAGCAAGCCACCGATTATCGCGAACAATTCCGCAACTTGCTGCTTGAGCTGTTTATGATCAGGTTCTTCGGCTATTATATTCAATAGTCGTGGACTTCGAGATGTTGCAGCCATTTCCAATTCGGAGGTGAAGACTGTAAATATCCAGTGGTCTCTGGTTGATACAGCGCCATATACATAATCAAAGAAATATTCTTCCCTCTTCCGTTTACGATTCGTCTATAAAATAATAGATGGACTTATTTATGGAACTATCTTATGACCAGACCAATACTAAATACTTACCGAGCATGTACTGTCTAATTCGACCATATTTTGCCATATGCCTTTCTCGATTTCTGAAGGCTTCGCTTCTGTTACACAAAACAAATCCTCCTGGTAACGAATAATAAAATCCGGACGTCCTCTACCACATGGACCACATAATCGCCACTGAGATTCGCATAGACGGCGGGAGCGAAATGTGATACAATCGTATGGAGGACGGCGGAGATAAACTCCGAACGTTCTAGTTCATTTGCACCGGAAGCGGTTCACTGAGTTGATATAATTGCATCTTATACCAAATGACGCTAAATATACTGTACCTTTATGTCCTTAACGACGTTCAATAGCGCTTTGGATTTCGTCTTTTGATACGTCCATCATATCGGCTATCGGAATATTATGTTACTGTGAACAATTAAATCTAATATAAAATATGGTACTTCTTGGTACTTACGAAGAGACAATTGCGCTAAATCCCGGATGTCTTGAACATCTATTCCGTATATTTGACGTATCTTTTCCGGATTATCATAATATGAGAACTCTCGTTGCGCTAAGTCGTTATTTGCGCATTGATACCGTAATTATGACAAAATATATTAAGTCATCAGATGGATTAATAACACACTTACGCGTGTTTACTTTGAAATCAAGGAGCAGTTCGCTACACGCGCTTTTTCCATAAAATGATCGAACGTTGCTTGATGGTCGACATCGTAACTGATAGACTTGTGCGAAATTGAAATTTTGTCTTCCTCAACGCCTTCGAGTATATTCCCGAATTCCTTTTTGATCCGGCATTGCAATTCTGGCCAAGAAGCTTTCTCGTCGGAAGGAATCCACGCGAAACTTCTGGCATTGGTTCCAAGACGAGCGGTACAAGTAAAGTTTCTATTCGCTAGATTGATGTTTCATAAAATTTGTTACTATATACGTTTACTTCATTTACAACCCACATTACTACATCCACTCTACCCTATGTACACCTATTCTATGTCCCCAACGCCCGAGTCACAAGTCGTTACCTGTGGGAGTGTCTGTTTTGAGTCGAAGTTCCTCAAGTTCTAGCTTTCTTCTTTCGAGTTCCAGTCGCCATGCTTCATTGAGCTCTTGGGGGGTTGCAGTCGGTAGAGTTTCCTTATACTTTTGCGTAAACGTGAAGAAATCCATGGTTATATCGTAAAATGTGCTGCGCAATGTGATTTTAACCAATCAGTGGCTTAACCAAAGTTTACTATTACTATTACTATATAAGTCAGGACACGTTTAGAATGATCGCACCGCAGTAATACAATTGTATGTGAAAAATAAAACTTCTTGATTGAACACAACAATCTCCATTATTCCTGTGATTGTAGTCTATATGACAGCATGATAAAAGACAATAATTGTGGGGGCTGAAGCTAAACACTCATGCAGATTCGTGAAAAGCTAAGCTACAAAGTGATATATAATAGTTATACTGGATGTTGCAAAAACTCCCATCGGATACTTTAGTCCAGGGAGTGTACAGCCCCCTCCCATAAATGACTGAGTAAGACAAAATTTCGTAAATTATATGTCGAATTCGCACGCATGTAA